TTACTGAGTAATGTATATCCCAGCTCCCCTGTACTCCATTATAGTGATATGACATGTATACAGTAATGATTACTGTATACATGTCATATCACTATAATGGAGTACAGGGAAGCTGGGATATACATTACTGTGTACAGTTTTATATTTTGTACTCTTTATTCTAAAGAAAAATGTAATTTCATAAGCTTTAAGGTGGCGTGGTTGGGGGAACGGGCGGGGGGTGGGGTTGGGGGGCGGACCTGGGCAAGGTTGGGTGGGGAAACTGGTGGAGAGTAAGTTTTGTGACTGGCTAGTAGGTCTGGACTCGAAATTTTAACCCCCTGTGTTAAAAGTGTTAAATAGCTCTGGGAAGAGATTTGGGATTTTTAAAGAAATTCAACATAGATTTTCTGCAGTGTTTTTTTTACAGGAGACACATTTGGTGCAAGAATCAGATGTGAAATTAAATTCCAGATATTCTCCAATGTGGTTTTATGCAGATTCCCCAATTAAATGTGCGTAAGGGAATAGGTTTTGCGAAAAATATAAGGTTTAAACTGGAAGACAGATTGGTAGATCCGGAAGGGAGATTTCTCTTTCTGAAGGGAAAAATTACAGTAAATAGACTGTACACTAGCAAATATTTATTGCCCGAATAAGAAACCGGAGGTATTTCTAAAAAATACTCTGAGGAAGTTAATGGATTTCAAAAAAAGGCAATTTAATTGTGGCAGGTGATTAATTTCTCTGCATGGATCCCCAGATGGATATGACGTCCCTGTGCAGAGAAATGGTAGTAGGTCTCTGAAATCCTTGAAAAAAATGATATACCAATGTGAACTTGTAGATATATGGAGATTTAAGCACATGAAGGACAGAGAGACTATACATTTTTATTCTCATGTACATGAGATGTATTCAAGACTGGATTATATATTGCTGGTCCATTGATTTATCCAGTCTCTGGTCAAAGTAAAAATAGAAGTGATGTCAATATTGGACCATGCCCCTTAAATGAGACACTTCTCCAGGATTCAGAGGTGGTGGATCAAAGAATAAAAAAAAGAATTAGAGCAATTTTTTGAGGAAAATGATTCTGGGGAAGTGTCTGTAGCAACAGTGTGGGAGGCTTATAAGGCCTATATTAGAGGAATCCTGATAGCGATTGGAGCAAAAAAGAAGAGGGAAAGAAGAGAAAAAATAAACACGCTTCTTAGTGAACTCTGTGAGTTAGAGCAGATACATAAACATAAAGTAACAAAAGAGATTATGCAGAGGGTAATAAATAAAAGAGAAAAATTAAATAAATTTCTGGAAGAAGATAAGAGAAGAGTGTTCAATAAAATAAGTGAGAGATACAGATGGGGAGATAGGCCAGGAAAGTATTTAATGAGGGCTCAGAGAAAAAAAAAAATCTAGGAACTATATAGAGAAAATAAGAGACCACAAAGGAGAATTAATGTATTCAACTAAAGTGTTTAAAGAATATTATAATAAGCTATATAAGATTATTCCCCACAGCTTCATAAGTAAAGATGAAGTAGGAAAAATAGAAAAAAGACAGACATACTTAAAAAAGGCAGGTTTACCAAAATTTAAGTGAGGAGCAATTAAAATCCCTAAAATCAGCAATGACGCAGGAGGAAATACACTTAGCATTAAAGAGCACTATAGCTGGGAAAAGTCCAGGACCTGATGGATACACAGTGAAATATTATAAAAAATATAAAGAATTATTAATACCTAAACTGAGGATATATATGAATGCATTGGGAGGAGAGAAGGAAATGAGGAGGGAATTCCTACAAGCTCATGTAGTTCTCATACATAAGGAAGGTAAAGATGATACTCACTGTTTGTTACAGACCAATTTCCTTATTAAACACAGATACCAAACTATATGTAAAAGTTCTGGCAAACAGGTTGAAAGACCTAATGTTGGAATGGATACACATAGACCAAATAGGCTTTGTCCCAGGGAGAGAGGGTAGAGATAACGGACTGAGATCTCTGTTTCTCATACAAAAAAGTAGGAAAGAGAAAAACCCTGTGGTGGTACTCTCTATCGATGCGGAAAAGGCATTTGATAGAGTAGATTGGGGATATATGTTGGATACATTGAAAGTATTGGGGATGGGACCTAGAATGAGAGAGTGGATAAGGAAATTTATAATCAACCCTCTGCAGCAATCATGGTTAATGGGGAATTGTCAGAGTATTTTGCGATGCAGAACGGAACTAGACAGGGATGCCCTTTGTCTCCATTGCTATATGTTTTATCATTGGAATCTTTTTTGGCTACACAAAGGAATAATATAGACATAAAAGTAATTTGGATAGGAGATACAGAGTATACAGTAAGGTGGCAGCTTATGCAGATCACATGCTGTTCTATGTGGGAAACCCAAGGATATCACTGCCAAATTTAATGAAATCACTTAAAGAATATAGAGAGATGTGAAATTTAAAAATTAACCCAACAAGAACAGAAATTGTAAACATAATTCTTCCAAATAGAGAGAAAAATAGGTTACAGGAGGAATTTCCCTTTGTTTGGAGCGAAAAAAATAATTGAAATATCTAGGAAAATAATTAACTGTATCCTCCAAGAACTTGTATAAATTGAATTATATCCCATTGTTAAATGAGATCAGGGATGAACTAAGGAAATTAGGAGGGGGAACCCCATCATGGGTAGGTCGTATAAACTTGATAAAAATGGTGATTGTTCCAAAAATAATATATAAATTTCAAATGATACCAATTAAACTACCAGAAGTATACTTTAGATCAATTAAAAAAATGTTAATAAGATTTATTTAGAGGAATAAAAAACCGAGAATAAGCCTGGAAATTTTATGTAGAAATAAAGAGAAAGGAAGATTGGGAGTCCCAGATTTAAAAAAGATATTATAACTCAGTAATAATGGGGAGACTGGACATATAATGCAGAGGGGAAAAGCTGGGTTAAAATAGAAAATATACTAAGTAATACTAAAGTAAGTGGAATTGTATGCTTACCTCCACAATACAGAGGATTAGCAGACAGTACAAGTTTGTTCACATTTAATGTTTTAAGAGTTTGGGATGTTTTACACAAACAGATGGGATCGGAATTTAATTCATTGTTAATGCCCTTAAAGTCCACAGAGTTTTTCCCCCTGGGTAAAGAAGGTATCACAGGGAAGTGGATTAAGAAGGAAGATGCACAATTAAGGAATATAATGGTGGGAGAGGAAATAGGATCACTTAAGGAATTGGAAAAAAAAAAGAAGTTTTTACGAGAATGGAATGAGTGGCGTTATTTTCAATTGAAACACTTTATAGGAAAACTTTCAAAGCCTTTAAGAATAAGAGAGGAATGGAATCCTTTTGAGCACTTGTTAGGTAAACAGGGAGATGGGAAACACGGAACCTCTAAAATATATAAGATTCTCACTGAAATAAAACGCAGATATAAGTCCTCCATATATAGAAAAATGGGAAAGAGAAATAGGAGTTACAATAGATGCGGAAAAACAGAGGAAAATATATAGAATAATCCACGGAAATATAAATATGCAGAAGGTAGAAATTAATTATAAGTGTTTGGCAAGAGTGTGGCACACAGATTGAGTGGAGATAATTCACCTTTATGTTGACGTGGATGTGGAGGTAGAGGCACAATGTATCACATATGGTGGGAGTGTTCTAAAATACAAGAGTATTGGGGGAAAATAGTAAGCTTGATTCAGAAAATTACAGAGGTTGATATTCTAGTAGATCCAGAGATTTGCCTTTTTCATAGTACTAAGCTTCCAGTTAAAAAATACAAAGAATCTGGTTTATCGTACTAATTGACTGCAGCAAAGGGGACTGATACCCAACTATTGGAGGAGACAGGAGGTGCCGAAAATAAAAGACTGGGTGCATAGGGTGGATCAAATACGTAAATTGGAGGAACTTTATCATTTGAATGAAGATACGATGGAGAGTCACTATACAAGATGGAACAAATTGGAGGAATTCAAAAAGTCAAGGCTAGCCTTAGAGGTTATGGGGGATTTACATAGAATAATATGGAAACATATTTTGTTCTTCTTTTATAGGGATTATGATCTCCAGAAGTGAACAGGAAAATGCAGAGCAGAAGGGGTCAGGGATTGGATGGGGGGGATGGGTGGTAAATAGGTAGGGGGAGGGGGGGGTGAAATGATAAATGTTTTGATAATAAGCTAAGGTTTTAATGAGTGGGTTCGTATAACTTAAATATTTAAATAAAAAAAAAAAAATAAAAAGCAGAATAGGTTATACACATAAAGACAATACTTACTGAGCGATAGTCAATCATTTCTCTATTACTGTAGAACAGAGATTTTAACATCATTTTTGGTGCATCATGTATCATAAAGGGGGTACAGATTGGTGAGGCTGGGAATTCAGAAGGAGCTATCCTGAATTTGACATACACTTTATTGCCAAAAGTTTTAATCCATAGGGTTCAATATTAAGTTGGCCAACCCTTTGCAGCTATAACAGCTTCAGCAAGGTTTAGGAATGTGTCTATGGCAATGTTTGACCATTCTTCCAGAAGTACATTTGTGAGGTAAGGCACTGATGTTGGACAAGAAGGCCTGGCTCACAGTCTTTGCTCTAATTCACCCCAAAGGTGTTCTATCAGGTTGAAGTCAGGACTCTGTGCAGTCCAGTCAAATTTGTTCACCCCATGTCTTTATGGACCTTGCTTTGTGCACTGGTGTGCAGTCATGTTGGAACAGGAAGGGTCCATCCCCAAACTGTTCCTACAAAGTTGGGAGCATGAAATTGTCCAAAATGTCTTGGTATGCTTCACTGGAACTAAGGGACCAAGCCCGACCCCTGAAACACAACCCCACACCATAATCCCCCCTCCACCAAACTTTACACCTGGCACAATGCAGTCAGGCAAGTATTGTTCTCCTGGCAATCGCCAAACCCAGACACATCATCCATTCGATTGCCAGACAGAGTAGCGTGATTTGTCACTCCAGAGAACGCTTCTCCACTGCTCGATGTGCTTTCCACCACTGCATCTGATGCTTTGCATTGCACTTGGTGATGTAAGCCTTGGATGCAACTACTGGTCCATGGAAACACATTCCATGAAGCTCTCTATGCACTGTTGTGCTAACCTGAAGGCCACATGAAGTTTGGAGGTCTTCAGCTATTGACTCTAAAGACAGTTGGCGACTTCTGGGCTCTGTGCGCTTCAGCATGCGCTGACCCCACTCTGTCGTTTTACATGGCCTACCACTTTATGGTTGAGTTGCTGTTGTTCCCAGTTGCTTCCACTTTGTTATAATACCACTAACAGTTCACTGTGGAATATTTAGTAGCAAGGAAATTTCACGGATGGACTTATTGCACAGGTGGCAACCTATCACGGTACCATGCTTGAATTAACTGAGCTTCTGTGAGTGACCCATTCTTCCACAAATGTTGGTAGAAGCAGTCTGCATGCCTAGGTGCTTGATTTTATACACCTGTGGCCATGGAGGTGATTGGAACACCTGAATCCAATGATTTGGAGGGCTGTCCCAATACTTTTGGCAATATAGTGTATATACACCCGCACTAGTGATGCTGGATAGCTAATCAAACAAGGAAAAAAATTAATGTCAAGTAGCCAAATGAGAGATATTAAATGGGAAATATCCTCTAGCTTTTGGTAAACCAGTGCATGACTGGAATAGACAAAATATACAGTACACAAAACAAATAAATCCATTTTATTTCAACTTAAATTTGAATTTCTTTTTATAAGTATTGCATAATGCTTGTTTCCAATTCTGAACACACTTTTCACAATAGTTAAATTTTCTTAATAAAGATGCACTTAGCCAACATTAACATTTATAATTCCACTTGGATGTTAAAGTAGAATTTACCCCCAAACCCCTTTCACATGCAGTCCTGCAAGGGTGGTAGCAATATAATTATGTGTTTGTTTAGAGATGAAACATAAATTGTATGCTGAGATAAAATCTCTGATAACAGGCAGCCTGCTGGAAAAACATGCCTGCAGCTTCCAGCATAATCCTCTGAAAAAAAATTGATTTGTTTGATTATGGTTTCTGACAACCTGCAAACCATCAAAATCACAATTTGCTTGCAGTGCTGCTACACAAGGCAGCACATTTTTTAATAGGATAAGACTTGTCTAAAATTAGCACAAAACTCAATTTGTGTTATCTGATGTAAGTGGAACTGTTTACTAATTTACATGACAGTGATATCCAGGTTTCATTGTTTAATCTTTATATCTCGCAGATAATTTACACTACACAACAATCATTTTTACAGGTCTGTAGTTCTCCTTAAAGCAGAGGTCCAGTGGGAATTAAAAAAAATTAAAGTCAGCAGCTACAAAAACTGTACTTTTTTGACTGACAAAAGCTGTAGCTGCTGACTTTTAAAATATGGACACTCGCCTGTTGCGGTGTTCTCACACTGGCTGGGTTGTCTCCTTGGCGCCGGCATCTTCAGTGTGCGGACCCTGCTGTGACAGCTTGCTGCTCTACAGCCGGGTGCCCACTGCGCAAGCACGTGTAGTGCTGTTCTTTGTGAATGGTCCTGTGGTCTTCTAGAACCTGTTACTGTATGTGTCCAAGAAGACTACAGGGAGGGATGGGGGAAGGACAACTTCCGCTTCCGATCGCTTAGGTGATTGCAGCATAAGTGGGAGCGTGCACCTGCCAAATTCAGGTACCCGCTTCCTCCCTTCTCCCCAAAGGTGCCAATCCTTAACGAGAGTGGGGGACAAAGCCTTAAAATGGAACTTCTCCTTTTGAGTGAAGCTCCGCTTTAATAACAATCAAATGACCATACAATGGCTACGATTTGATACATTACTACTGTTTTTTGTTTGAGTTGTGTGATAATATCCCAGCAATTGTACTGATAGAACTGTGGAAGCCAGCATATATAATCTATATAATTGGATTTGTTGAAAGGGTTTGTTTGCATTTTATTAAAGTATCTTTAAAGCAGAGCTCCACCCAAAAGGGGAAGTTCCTCTTTAAAGACTGGTCCCCCGCTCTCCATTAAGGATTGGTACCTTTGGGGAGCGGTTATCTGAAATTGACAGGTACCCGCTCCCACTTCCACTGCAATCGCCTAGGTGATTGGAAACGGAAGTCGTCCTCCCTTCTCCCTCCCCGTAGTCTTCTGGGACACGTGACAGGTCCCAGAAGACTATGGGGCCATTCAGGAAGTGCAGCGCTACTCGTGCATTTGCAGTGGGCACCCGGCTGTGAAGTCATAAGCTGTCACAGCCGGGTGCCCGCACTAAAGGTGCCAGTGCCTGGAACTCCAGGTGGCTGGTGAAACGGGCTGCGGGGAGGACACTGTGGAATAGTGGCTGTTTTTTAAAAGTTAGCAGCTACAGTTTTTGTAGCTGCTGACTTTTATTTTTTCACAGTGTGACTGGAACTCTGCTTTAAGTTATGAATAGGTACTACCATGTGCTGCACATCAAGCAGTAGTTGAGAGGCTGCCAAACATACTCTAAATATTGGACTTGCAGTTAATGTGGAACTAAACTGTGTCTGAGCACCACAAACTGAAAACTTCATTTGAATAATTTTTATTTTCAGAGCAAACTCACCCTTCATCCATGTCTCCATGCTTTATTTTGTTGAGAAATCACTTAAAAAAATAAAAACAAATACCCCCTTAGCATTTTTAGCCATGGCCATTTTGAGTAAGGGCAGATGGTACATGTAGCATTTACTTCCTAGAATTTATCTGCCCTTAACTAGGCATTCAGGCATGAGGGTGTGCTTTAAAACAAGCAAATATAATATATATATTCCTAACTATTTACCAATGCTAACTGCAGAGGGATTAAAAATAGTTAATGTTAATTGAAAGTGTTTAGCTCCATTTTCAGATGATAATTTTCTAAAGGTCTGATAATTCATTGCTTTAAAATATGATCCCTTTATGTATGGCCACATTTATACTAATTTGTTTTATTTCTTTAGTTTACATAGTCCATGAATACATTTATTTCAGTGACCACAATTGACTAGATAAGCACAGTTTCCTTTTGTTAATCAGAAAAATTTATTAGAAAAACCTTCACATTACAGATTTTTAAAAACATTTTTAACCCTGTGCTGTACAAAATCCAACATATCAATTTCCCATAATGAAGACAGATCACGGCTGTTCTCTCCTTGAGCACTATGTCTTGTATCTGCCTTCTGTTATCTTTCTACAGGCATCCTTTTGTAGTTGGACCTGCTGGGTCCCTTCCACAGCTGTTTGCTAAACAGTGATGATGTCACTGATAGTTTTACTACGTAAAAAGATTTATGCCCTTAGAGGCTATTGTGGAACACTTTAAAGGATATGTTCACCTTTGGTGAACATATCTAAAACAGGTGGAACATGTAACATGTTTCCATAGCCGCTGTGGAGCGCCGTGGTAGTTCATTGAAGCTTCCAGTCAGAGTATCTGCTTGCACATATATTTCCGTGTCTAAAAGGTGAACTTATCCTTTAAATTTCAGTAACATAAAAAACAAACTGCAATACAAACATTTCGAACTGCCTCTTCTGACACTCTGGGTTCAGACATATTTCAACAGTATGAAATAATAATGCAAAAGACACGATTCTTTAGTAACACCTCTATATTAAGCTCCTTCAAAAGAGTAGACCACAGAATGAAGCTTTAGGAGTCGCATCCCCAGTTAACGCATACAATCAAAACAAAAATAAAATGGAAATAACCAAATAGCAACAATTAACAGATTATATGGTCACAAATGGTAACTCTGGAAACTATGTCACTAAATGGTCACAAATGTTACTTTGTAACTGCAATACCAGCAGCAGGAGGCGGAAGAAAAGGCTTGACATGTTGACATAGCAGCTCCCTCTGGGCCACCAGAGTCACAATAGGAAATTCAAAGAATTATTAAATTTTTTTATATATATATATATATATATATATATATATATATATATATATAGTAGCTGTTGTCTCCTGCTAGCAATGGTGGGGCCCATATACAGTAGTGAGTAACAGTAATTCAAGGAAGATAACAGGCTGTGGTAAATGCTCAAAGTAAAGATATCTTGGTACTGGAGTGTAAAGGTGTCTGAATGCAGTGTCTCGTGTTGTTAGAAAGAGGTTGGGCATTCACTTGCTCACCAATCCCATGAATAGCACTGCCTCCTAGTACAGGCTCTTTGCTGTTTGCAGAGAAGTGAAGAGTTACCATCTTACAGCCTGTCAGCGCGGCAAGCAGAGATGACTAGTTGAAGAGTGGATAGTGACAGTCCCGGTGCAGAGAAGCTGATGCAATCCCGGTGTGGCTATCAGTGTATCTGCTGTGCTAAACTGGTATGCAAAGTCCCGCAGTAGTAGTCAACAATCTCTGGAGGAGAACGGCAGTCCCCCAGTGCTCCGAATCTTGCACCAATAGAGTGAGCCAGTTCCTTGCTGTAAAATGTCTCTCCTTTCCCAGATACCTTCTGATTCCCCAGATCTCTAGTAGTTGTAGTTCAATTAGTAGGCTTTATGACTACAGGTCCCAGGTTCCTCTGCTGTCAATAGAACTGGATCTACTCTGGTAATAGGAAGTGGTGTAGCAGTCCCAGTACTTGAAACTAAGGGGAAAAAGGATTAACCATAGTCTCATCTATAAATGTCCTTGAATGGCATAATGATATAGCCGGCACCAGGCTGTATTACACTATATGACTAATCAGTACACTACTAAAGTGTTTAAAAGTAAATTGTACATATGAAAAAGTACATGCATTGGATCTTTTATTCTGCATATGTTGGAATTAAATGGCATTCAATCACAGCTGATTATTGAATGATGAAGTATTGTCATTCAGGACCACTACCCTAATGTATTGTATACGATAAAGCCCCTTCCCCCTCACGCAGCCTGGTCTGCTCTTACCCCCTGCCCCTAGATTTCTTTGGATCTGTTGATCATTTTTACATCAGTTGTTAATTTTTTCATCAGATTCATAGTTCAATTGCCCTGATTTCTGTAAGGGTAAATGTAATGTAACCAGGGAAGTTTGTTAGGTTTACTACTACTTTAGACTGTATGCAGTACATTTCTTACACATTACTCTACACAGTTCCAGACTTTCCAGAGGAGCTGCCCTTCACTGGGCATTGAAAAACCATGTTCATTATTGACAGTTCTTGTAAATAGTTCCAGTTGTGCTCAGCCATGTATGATTTTTTTTCAGACTTGTGTTTAGACTGTTTCTTATTTAATATTTCTTTTTTTTTACTCTCCTTTGCTGTTTAATTAGATTTTAAGTTTTTAAGATCTCCTTATCTTTGGCTAACAGCATTCCATTATCTGTGTTTAACATATTTTTATTACTTGTGTAAGCAGAAAGAACATTGCTCTAGGAAACTTGTTTAATGCAAAATTAAACAAAAATTATAACATTTTTAAATGAACCTGTTAGGCTT